ACTGGATAGCCTTGATGAAATGGACAAATTCCTAAAAGCACAAAATGTACTCAGACTGAATCATGAAGGAACTGAAAGTGTGAACAAATATAACGTTGGTAAAGAGGATAAATCAGTAATCCAAAATCCTTCAACAAAGAAAATTCTCGGACCTGATAATTTCACTGATCAATTTTTCCAGACATTTAAAGAAGAAATAATACCAATTCTTCTCAAATTCTTACAAAAAGCTGAAGGAGGGAAAACATTCTAGCTCATCCTTAAGGGGTGACAATTACCTTGATACAAAATCAGAAAAAGACTATAAGAAAAGAAACTCTTGACTCTTATGAACATTGATGCAAAAATCCTCAGCAAAATACCAGCAAACTGAACTCAGCAGCATATTAAATATATTACAGATCATGACTAAATGGGATTTATTCCTGGAATACAAGAATGATCCAATATATGAAATTCAATCATTGTAATATACCATATTACTAGAATGAAAGAAACACACACAATCATATTAATTGATACAGTAAAAGTATTTGACAAATTCAACACCCTTTCAACACTCAAAAAACTCAGAAGAAACCTACCTCAAGATAATAAAGACATATATGAAAAACCTATAGATAAGACTGGACTCAGAGGTGGACTTAAAGTTTTTTCTCTAACATCAAAAACAAGGATGCCTACTTTTACCACCTATTTTATTTTAATTAATTAATTAGTTAATTAATTAATTAAATTTAATTTATTTTTTAAGGATTTTACTTATTTATTCATGAGAGAAAAAGAGGCAGAGACACAGAAAGAGAGAGAAGCAGGCTCCATGCAGGGAGCCCGACATGAGACTTGATCCAGGGACTCCAGGATCAAGACCCAGGCCAAAGACAGGCGCCAAACTGCTGAGCCACCCAGGGATACCCCCACCTCTTTTAAACATAGTAGTAGAAGCCTTACAGACAAATTAGGCAAGAAAAAGATATGAAATATGTCCAAATTGGAAGGAAAAAGGTATAATCATCTCTGCTCACAGATGATATGATCTCATATCAGAAAACATAAAGACTACCAACATACAGACACACACAACCATTAGAGCTAAAAAAAAAAAAAAAAAAGTTCAGCAAAGTAGCAAGACACAAAGTGAATACACAAAAATCGATGGAACAAAGAAAAGAAAAATAAGAAAACAACTCCATTAACAATAACATAAAAATAATAAAATACTTAGAGGAATTAACTAAGCAAGAAAGTAAAAGGCATACACTGAAACCCACAATACATTACTGAAAAAAATTAAAGACATAAATAAATGAAAAAACATCCTGTGTTCATGGATTAGAAAGCTCAATACTGTTGAAATGGCAGTAGTATCCAAAGCTAGCTATTAATTCCATGCTATCCCCATTAAAATCCCAATGTTAATTTTTACAGAAATAGAAAAAAACATCCTAAAATTTATATAAAATCTCCAGGAACTCTATGTAGTCAAAACATTCTCAAGAAAGAACAAAGCTGGATGGTATACCCTTCCTGATTTCAACATTTACCACAAAGCTAAAGTAATCAAAACAGTATAGGGCAGACAAACCAATACTATAAATAGGGAGCTCAGAAATCGGCCCTTGAATACATGGCCAAATTATTTCTTACAAGGGTACCAAGAAACAATAATCTCAGGCAAACTGGATACCTATCTGCAAAAGAAAGAAGCTGGACTTAATACCATATGCAAAAATTAAATCAACATAAATCATTTTACATGATGTACATGGCATACATGTAAGAACTGAAACTAGGAATTCTTAGAAGAAAATGTAGAGAAATATTCATGACATTGGATCTGTCAATGATTTAGATATAACACCAAATAGTACAGCCAACAAAAGAAAAATGGACAAACTGAACTTCATCAAAATTAAAATCTCTGTGCATCAAAGGAAGCAACAGAATAAAAAAAAAACCCATAGGTTGGGAAAAAATTACTTGCAAATCACGTCTGATGAGAAATTAAATAAAAAACTGCCACAGAATTACATTTCATCCAGCAATTCTACTTCTGGGAACATACACAAAAAAATGAAAATCAGTGACTCAGATATCTATGCTCTCATGGTCCTATTAACAGTATTCTAAAGGGCCAAAAGGTGAAACAACCCGAATGTACACTGTTGGGTGGATGGATAAGCAAGATAAAGAAAATATGGTATATATATATACCATATATATATATATATAATATTATTATTCAGTCTTATAAAGGATGGAAATTCTAACACATGCTACAAAATGAGTGAACCTTGAAGACATTATATTAAATGAAATAAACCAGACACAAAAGGATGAATTCTGTGCTTCCACTTATGAATCAATACATAAAGATGGAAAGTAGAAGAGAGATCAGCAAGGGCTGAGGGGAGGGGATATGGGGGGGTCATTATTTAATGGGTACAGCATTTTACTATGGGATAATGAAAATTCTGGATATGGATAGCAGTGATAAGTTCACAGCAATGTGAATATGCCACAGAATCATACACTTGAAAATGGTTAAAAGGGTCAATTTTATGTTATGTACAGTTCATCACAATAAAAAAAAAAAGCAATTGACCATGTAAGTGTGGTTCTGTTTCTGGACTCTTTATAATGTTCCATTTGATTCATGTACCTGTGTTTATGACAATATCACATTGTATTCATTATAATAATCTTATAGTAAGTTCTGAAATTTGGAAGTATAAACACTCCAACTTTGTACTCCTTGTTAAAGATTGGGCTATACTGAGTCTTTGTCTTTCTATGTAAATCTTAGAATCAACTTGTCATGGTCTACCAAAACATTTTGGGGATTTTAATTGATATTGAGTGCTTAGGAATATTTGAAAACTTAAAAATATTTAGTCTCTCATTGATGATCATGTTACATTTCTCCATTACTTGTTTATTTTCATTTCATTTATCGTAGTTCTGTGGTTTTCAAGGTAAAAGCTTTGACCACATTTTGTTAAATTTATTACTAAGTGAATTATCCCTATGATGTATTGTGTATTCCATTTTTATTGTTTGTTGCAAACTACAGAAATATAATTAACTTTGGACATCGTCCCTATTTCCAGCAACCTTGCTGAATTCTATTCTATTCTATTCTATTCTATTCTATTCTATTCTATTCTATCTTTTGTAGAATTCTAAGGGGTTTCTACATACACCATCATGACAGTTAAAATAAAGACAAAATTTAAATCTTCTTTTCCAATTGTTAGGTCATTTATATCCATTTTCTGGCTTACTGTATAACCAAGACAATATTGAGTAAAAATGAGGCAAGTGATGATCCTTCACTTTAACGTCAGGAAGTATCTTCAACGTAAACTATAATGTTAGTGAGAATTGTTCATTAGAGGCTTATTGGATGAAGGAAGTTCTGTCCTATCTAGAATTTGTTGAAAGTGTTTCTTATAAATGGATGTCAAATTTTGTCAATTTTTTTTGCATTTGTCGACATTATCATTGGATATTTCTCCTTAATTCTGTCAAGTTCTTCCTAACATTCTTTTCAAAAAAGAGATTAGGTTTTTGTGCATTACCTATTTTGACTGCATAGTTTAAAATTGATAACATACAATTGATAGACTGAATTTTACAAATTATAACACTTTACTGATCTAGAATTTGTGAAATATATTCATTCCAGAGAGTTATACGAATCATTTTACTTCACTGAAAGGAAAGAAAAGAGAGAAGGAGGAGGAAAAGAAGGAAGGAGGAAGGAAAAAAGGAAAAGACAGAAAGAAAAAAGGAAGAATCATTGACCACTATTTTTTATTAACTAAAAGGAAGAATGGGCACTCCATAGGAACAATTTAATTAGCTTTGACAGTCAGACCCATGATTCAGAATGATTTAAATGGTCTGTGACAAAAGATAGTTAACAGTCTGCAAAATGTCCATAATCTTTAGTTAGCAAGGGCCTATTGATTTAGGACCTGTGTGACTCCCATAGGATGCTGATGAGAAGCGAGGTGGAAAGTCAAGTTCAGCATTATTCACCACCAACAGAACTCCAAGGTAAGTCTGTTAATAAGCTACAAATTAAATCTTTTTCCGAAATAGGGATAGATGTCTAGGGAATCCAGGAGTCCTACTGTTTGTTATTTGCTGTAATTTTCTTCTGAAATCACATTTGGCAACACTATTAAAATAATGTCTTTAAGGCCATTACATAATAAATGATAAACTCTAAAAGTTGTCCTCTTTAATGCTAAAATTGTTTTGTTGAATATAATATAATTTATCCTAAAGATGTCTTCCACAGCTGTACTACTAAGTAAACCAGTGGCCTTTGAGTGATAATTTATAGCTCTTTCAGAGGCTGGATTAGTAGCAGGGTAATATGCCAACCAGTTAGGGCATCAGATAGACCTTGCTATGACATTTGGGCATAATTATATCAAGGAGGTCCGTGGAATCATTTAGGCACAATCTCCTGGGGAAAAGCATTGACTTTGAGTCCAGTGACTGCCACCTAAAGCCTCATGCTTCTCAAATGTCAAGATTTAGGCTCCACCTGTGCACAAACTCCAAAAGTTCAATGTGATGCAAGGTAAGAAGACCAGGACAGGGAAACTACCCTGCACTATTCTCAGATAGTCAGCTGCATGAAAAAGTAAAATGTATTTTCTCAAGATCAGATAATAAAAGTGTCACTGCAGCCACTTAACAACTGGGAGTCAATGAGATGCCCTCATGTGTGGGGATGGGCCCTAATGAGTGGCTGTGGATCTGGGTTTGGTACATATACAAGGGCACTGCTTACTTAATAATGTCAACAAATATTACATGCAGGAGGATTCATTCTACACTGAGGTAAAAGAAAACTGTATTATGAATTTTCTGTAATTAAACATTTTATTAACAACAACAACAAAAGAAACCAAAAACCAAAAAAAAAAAAAAGAAAAAAAGAAAAAAAAAAAAAAAACTTCAACAGAAGGAAAGCTACTTACACCAGAATAGAAAGGCTCACCCGACACACATATCACATCCTGTTCCTGGATCATCAAAATATCTTTGGCTAGGTGCAGCCGAACTTTGAAAGGCTCCTGATTACCATCCTGCAGCAAACAGATCCCTGTCTTTGTCTTCAGGCAAGAAAAGAACAAAATAGAGAAAAAAAATATACTTAGTTTATAGAATATAATTTTATGTCCTATTCATAGCAAAACATGATGAAGAGCGTTTGAGAGCTAAAGAAAATACATTCTGATGAATCTGGAACTTAATATAGGTGCAGAGACAAGATTAACCATTTCATGTGAAATAGTCCTCAGGTAATGGGGATTATGTCAGAAAATCCACATAAGATTAGGAGAATAAAGAGTATAGTTTATACACTATATTTGAAAAATAATGAAAAATGTGTTTAATATTTATGATCTAAATATAAAATTTATGTTAAACTAATTGAGATACAATTCACATTGTATACAATTCACCTCTTTAAGATCCACAAGACAATGGTTTTTGTACAAAGTTGTGTAGGCATCATTAATAGTAAATTTTAGAACAGTTTCATCACTTCCAAAGGAAACCTATTATGTGCATCACTCCACTCCTCACCCCAGCCCCAGGCAACCACTAATCCACGTTCTGCCTCTATCATAGAATTCTAAATCTGAAACCATACCTGCTTAACATCTTTTCTATTTTCAATGATTTCATCATTCCTAATCAACAAACACACACATACACACACACACTGTACAGATGAGAAAATGAGGATTAAGGGGGGAGAGAACTGCCTAAATTTAGTTAATTAAAAACAGAACCTGGCTTAAGACCCAAGATTTGTGATTCCCGACCCATTGTTCTTGCTTCATGTGTTTTGGGGAGTTACAAACACAGCCCATGAAGACTGTTGAACTTGTACTATATAGCTTTACACTAGTACCTCAGTATTCATCAAAGAAGCCCACAAATCTCATCACTCCTGAAGCACCAATACCCGTCAGTATATAATATTCAACCAGATAAATAAAAATGTGCTTCTCAGCAAGTACACTTAAGGTCCTCATTTGTTAAAAATACAAAAGGAAATTCTTTTGAGACAGGAAATGATCTCTGGCCATCATTCCGCACCATAAAGTCAACAGGAACAATGACTACTTTGGCAATTACATTTTCATTTAATAATTATGAAGCCATTCTTAATTTTGATAAAAGGATAAACATACATAAATATGTATTTATCCTTAGTATTTAATGAGCACAAAATTCCAGGCAATAATACTAGGCTTTCTCTTGGGATATAAATTTACATGTGGATCCACCAGGAATTTCTTCCTTTAAAAAAATGTTTCATTATGTAAATGGGAATGTAATTAGATACTGATGCCTCTAAAGATCATTCTTTCTGTAAACTGCTTTATTCCATGTGCTAATACGTACCATTATACTCTCTATAACCATGGTCTTATATTAGCCTGTAATTATTTTGTAAGGATTATATCTTTTAAGGAAAAGCTAGTTTGTTTTTTTTCCAGGAGCATAGATGGCATTCTTTCTTCCTTTAGGAGACTGGCACACAGCAGGCATTCACTAAATTGTGTCAATTAATCTATTCTAGAGCACAACTCAAGTGAATAGGTCCAGAGAACAAAAATATTTCAGCAAAGGCAAATTATATTTTCTTAATATAGAACATAATTTTCTACATTTTTCACAGAGAAGAGTCTTTCATGCTTACAATGTGATCTTGGCTAGGAGCCAACATCAAGACTCTCTGAGGTGGCATGGAGAAGAGGAGGGTATAAAATAATATCAAAGCCAAGTGAACATAATTGAGCACATTTGCTGATTTTTTAATGTACAGTACATTTGGGCCAATTTTCTCCCAGAAGTGTAATGGAATAGCTAGCAATCACAAATAATGCCCTGTCTCAGCATGATGATGAAAGAGGGGTTTTCCCTGAGAGCCCATAAATACATTATTGTTACACATCAAAGAGATATCAAAGATCATCCAGGGAAAGTTTGAGGCACAAAAATACAGCTATGAGACTTCTCTTGTTACATCCGACGTGGTCAGATCTCCATTCCCTCAAATAATGTATAAAATATCCCCTAATTATTAGAGATTTGTGTGCAAAACAGAACACAGACTTTGAGCTCACATTTGGGTCCTAAGAAGGCAGAATTAAAGAAAATAAAGAAAGAAGTACCTTTGGTTAGAATGAATACACATACACACATGCCAACAAATAGCTGTTTGGAAAAACAGCACTAATGAAGCTTACAACAAATTCTACTTAAATTCATTCTTTAGAGGTTATAGATGTTACATATATTTTATTATAAAGACTTAGCCATGTACATGAAAATACATTTAAAATCCTGGGATCCCTGGGTGGCTCAGCGGTTTAGTGCCTGCCTTCAGCCCAGGGGCGATCCTGGAGTCCCAGGATTGAGTCCCACGTCAGGTTCCCTGCATGGAGCCTGCTTCTCCCTCTGCCTGTGTCTCTGCCTCTCCCTCTCTCTCTATGTCTATCATGAATAAATAAGTACAATCTTTAAAAAAACACACGCACAAATAAAATAAAATAAAATCCCATACATACATCAATTTTCCAAATAATCTGAAATTAATTCAGACATGAATCAGACAGCAGTCTCTGACCTCAGAGTACTCTTACTTACAAAAATGTGCAAATATACAATGTGATATCTGATGTAGGAACAGCATGGAGAGAAGAGTTAAATATTCTTGAATGAGGGGGTTGTCAAAGAAAGTTTTGTAGATAGAAAAATGTATGGTTTGTCTTAAAAAATAAATTGAGGAAGGATGCCTGGGTGGCTCAGTGGTTTAGTGTCTGCCTTCAGCCCAGGGAGTGATCCTAGAGTCCCGGGATCAAGTCCCACGTCGAGCTCCCCATATGGAGCCTGCTTCTCCCTCTGCCTGTGTCTCTGCCTCTCTCTTTGTGTCTGTCTGTCATGAATAAATAAATAAAATATCTTTTTAAAAGATTGAGGAAATAATAATTAGAGGAGGCAAAAGTTATTTTATTCCAAGAGGGTAAAATAAGTAAAGATATGAAAGTATGAAGATGGATAGTTGACATGATACAAGAAGAGAGAAGCATGAGTACATTCCAATGCTAAGTCTGCATGATGTAGCAGGGGCCAAGGGAGGAGAGGTGTTAGGTGAAGAGGAGGAATGTCAGGGCCCTTATGTGATGTTCCAGGAGTTTAAAGATATTGGATATGCCCTAGAGAAATCTAAACAGTGATTTATACATATATTTCTTAGAGCAGGAGGCGGATAGGAATTGGGGAAGCTACAACATAGTTTTTGATAACAGAATAAATCTTGAGCAGAAAATGCTGAGAGCTAGTAAACAACTGTATTAGAATCAGAGCTGGTACAGTAGATTAAAAAACGGATAAAATTCGTTTCAGGGCACTCCTCTGACTCACAACAGCACTGCTGGCTGGACTGGTATCATTGCTAGTGAAATGTAGTCATATGTTTATTTGTTGTTTAATAACCATTTGCATAACGTTTACTGTGTTTCCTGCAATATTATTTCATTTGATCCTCCTAACAACCCAGTACAGCCACTTTCATAGATAGGAAAAGAACAGAGGAGCAGAAATAAATGGAAGTTAGGATCTGAACCCAAGCTGCTCCAGATTCTGCACTCTACCACTTGCTCTGGTTTCCCTCATGCACAAATTCTATGAGGGATGCCTCTCCCAATCCTCCTGTAAACAATGACATGACCATCAGTGTCTCTCACCAGGAGGTAGCACTTTGGTCACCAAGAATCTCCTATGGGAGTGCAAAGTGTTCCGAGAAGGTCATCATCTTGAACCAACTGTTTTTCCTGGTCAAAACAATGGCCACTGGGGGGTAAAGTGAATGAAACCACTCTGATGTGATGATTTTCCCATTAAATACAAGCTTCTGAGGATATGGGGAGAGGCTTAATCTGCACAGCCTCGTAGATTGCTTCAGGGTTAAGAATGGGAACCAGGACTGCGAGAGTGGCCACTAGGGCAGTACAACAAAAAGCATCTGGCTGTGGTCTTTACATTTGTGCACCCAGATTGCTGAAAAATAAAAAATCACCTAAATAAGTATTGGCTGTACATTTTAGTATAAACTTAGGTCTTGCACTCATTTCTTTATTAACATGACAATCATTTGTCTTTAAACTTCATGGACTGCATACACATTGCACATGAGTAAAGAAATGTATTGCTCTATGTAGACATGTACAATATATTATGTAAATTATAATGCTTGAAATTTTAAAGGCATGATTCATAAAAAAATGATACAGATTCAAATGTCTCCTTGTGCCTGGTGGATAATATTATATTGCAGGGGGATTTTACAAAATCCACATTGTTTGCTTAGAGGAATAAAGGAGGCCTCTTAATTATTTAACAGGCAATACTTTTTAAAAATCTAGTCATTGGGCAGCCCTGGTGGCTCAGCGGTTTAGCGCCGCCTACAGCCCAGGGCCTGATCCTGGAGACCCGGATCAAATCCCATGTCAGGATCCCTGCATGGAGCCTGCTTCTCCCTCTGCCTGTGTCTCTGTCTCTCTCTTTCTCCTCTCTGTGTATCCTCATGAATAAATAAATAAAATCTTAAAAAAAAAATCTAGTCATTGACTTGCTTTCTGTAAATCAATGAGGTGTGTTTATGAATTTACACAGATTTACTCTGTTTTAAACAAACAGACCTCACATTTAAACTTACAAATAATTTATGCTTAGCTTAAATCTAGTACCTTGGAACTTTAAAAAATCGACTATATTTTCTTTTATACTTAAAAGTTAAGGCCTCCTTAATATAGATTCTAGATCCTGAAAGAATGAAACATGTGCTTTCATGAAACTTTGTTTTTTTTTTTTAAGATTTTATTTATTTATTCATTTATTTAGAGAGAGTGTGTGAGCAGGGTGAGGGATAGAGAGAGGGAGAGACAGAATCTCAAACAGATTCTGCCTAAGCATGGAGCCTAACATGGGTCTCTGTCTCATGACCCTAAGATCATGAACTGAGCCAATATCAAGAGTAGGATGCTTACCTGATGGTGCCACTCAGGCACCTCTGCTTTCATGAAACTTTAGAATCTATGTTCCTTTTAACCTTGAAACATAAAATTTGTGATATCAGACATAAAAAACTACAAGGAACTGGGCAGAGACCATGACATGCCCTGTACATAGTTTTGCAGATGTCCTTGTTATTTCCATATTTTGGTTGCCAAATATAACTTAATTTGTTCTGTAAACTTATAGTTTTAAGTGATGTGTAATTTCTTATATCCTACCATATTATAGCAACATTGCACTGAATGCCATTAGATACAATAGAATCATAGTCAAATTCTATCCTATTATATGAGGGACTAAAATGAAATATGTAAATGAATTATAAATTATTAAATATGTTATGGAAAAATATATTTTTTCATGGTCATACAGAAACATGGTTCATATATAGATGTGAAAATGAAATATGAGGAATACCTACACTAAAGATAGCATAGTTGCTCCTTGAACACATAGTTATTTTTTTCTTTTTTAAAGATTTTATTTATTTGAGAAAGAGCACAAGCAGGAGGAGGAAGAGGAGGGGCAGAGGGAGAGGAAGAAGCAGAATCCCCTAAACCTGACTTGGGGCTTAATCCCAGGACTCGGATCATGATCGAAGACAAAGGCAGATGCTTAACTGACCAGCCGCCTAAGAATCCCTAATATATATTATTATTTTGATGATATCTTTAAAAGTGGAAAATCAGTAATTTACCTGCACATAGCATGCACTTTTTCTCCTAAATTGTGGATTTTATGTTGTCCCAATTGTATTCTCTACCTTCACTTATGCATTTTATGACTTCTAAATCCCAATTCCTTAAAAATATTGCAGTATTTTCTTTTCAAGAGGAAAAACTTCTTAATTAATAAACCTTTTTTTTTTTGCAAAGGGTATGCATTAGAAAATTAAGATATTTTACATAGAACTATATATATTTCCATTTCTTTTCACAAAAGAGACTTCCTGGTTTGTGCATGCTTATAATCTAGCTAGATTTGTCCAATGGATATGGATATCAGAGTTGCATCTTTAACAGCTTATTAGCAGTCAAGAGAAAATAAGTTTTATTCAACATAGATTTGTCTATGTTATAATTTCCAGCAACATAATTTAGAAAGAGGCTCAAATTTGGACTCATGAGTTCCAAACTACACATTATGGTTTTACTTTTAATTAATTAAATGGCACTTAGCATTTCATAAAACCTCTCAATTTCCTCACCTGCAAAGTGAGAGAGTTAAGCTAAATTATCTTTATGCTTTCTGTCCACTAAAATGTTTTAAGACTGTAAATTTCAGGCAAACTAATTGACTTTGATCCATCTCTAGAGGAATTTGATCATGTTCAGAGTATCTTAGAGTTCTGTATTCTTGCAAACCTAGCCAGTGTGTGGAAGACACATGGCTGTTGCTGCTGAGCTGTTCTTATTTTTTCTTTTTTAAAAGATTTTAAATTGAACACCAATAAAAAATAAATTTATTATTAAAAAAATTACTCAGCCATTAGATATGACAAATACCCACCATTTGCTTCAATGTGGATGGAACTGGAGGGTATTATGCTGAGTGAAGTAAGTCAATCGGAGAAGGACAGTGTATGTTCTCATTCATTTGGGGAATATAAATAATAGTGAAAGGGAATAGAAGGGAAGGGAGAAGAAATGGGTAGGAAATATCAGAAAGGGAGACAGAACATAAAGACTCCTAACTCTGGGAAATGAACTAGGGGTGATGGAAGGGGAGGGGGGGGAGTGAATGGATGATGGGCACTGAGGGGGGCACTTGATGGGATGAGCACTGGGTGTTATTCTGTATGTTGGCAAATTGAACACCAATAAAAAATAAATTTATTATTAAAAAAATTTTATTTATTTATTCATAAGAGATACAGAGAGAGGGGCAGAAACATAGGCAAAGGGAGAAGGAGGCTTCTGTGGGGAGCCTGATATGGGACTCAATCCCAAGTCCCCAGGATCATGCCCTGAATCGAAGGCAGACACTCAACCACTGAGCCATCTCAGTGTTGAGCAATTCTGAGACAGTTTTACTCCACCCTGAGGACAGTCTAAAATAGTAGAGATTGTCAAATAGCTCATTGCAAGAGAACAAGAACCTCTGTTCCAGAAGCAAGGGTAAATTTTGGTTTATATCACCATCGTAAAATAAATCTCTGAACTCTAAATAATACTTGATATATATTCCAAACCAATGAATCAAACAATTTTGTTTGAAAAAAGGTCTGAGAAATCAATCTTATATCAGCCTCTGAAGCCCAAGGTAAACCATGTTTTAAAACAGTATTTGGCCACTATCCTGTCTCTAAGGATTTCATGAATCTGACAGGTTTTTCATTTGTTATCTCATTCCTGCAAATATCCATTCAATGGTGCTTTATTACCCAAAACAAAATAACAAACACTGTGATGGAAATAGTAGGCTTACTACATCCAAAATTAAGAGTATAATACTATGTATTTAACACTAGACATGGCACAGAATTAAAATTTATGTTTCTAAATTGAAGCTTCTAAAGCATTAACTCATTTTTTAAAAGTATGAACTGATAGGTGCTAAGTTAGAAGGATGAATAAATTATACATTCTGACATTATAGTATTTAGTATAGCACATAAGAGAGATTTATAAATAAATATAAAATAAATATAATGTAATTTGAAAAGTGCTAGTGTAGAGAGAATCTTTTGGAAAAATAAGAAGTTTAAGCTTAAGTATTAAAAATATAAAAGTGGGGATCCCTGGGTGGCACAGTGGTTTGGCGCCTGCCTTTGGCCCAGGGCGCGATCCTGGAGACCCGGGATCGAATCCCACGTCGGGCTCCCGGTGCATGGGGCCTGCTTCTCCCTCTGCCTGTGTCTCTGCCTCTCTCTCTCTCTCTCTCTGTGACTATCATAAATAAATAAGAATTTAAAAAATATATATATAAAAGTGGGGCATGTGAGTGGATCACTCAGTTAAAGCAAAAGACTTGGTTTCAGCTCAGGTCTTGATCTCATGTGTGGTATGATTAGCCTGCACCAGGCTCCAAGATCAGCTGGGAGTCTGCTTGCAGTTCTCTCCCTCTGTCCCTCCCCATCACTCTCCAATGCACATGCTATTCCTTCTCTCTCACTCAAATGAATAAATCCTTAATATATATATATATATATATATATATATATATATATATATATATGGAATTTATTAATTTCCTGAAAGATCTTAGTAATGTTCTAAACTTTGAACCAATTGTAACAAATCACTTTTTAAAAGTAGGTATTTATGCAGGAAACTTAACATATGACATCTCATTAAAAGAACAGTCTTTACAAACGTTAATAAGTTTCTTGTTGGTTTGTTTTTAACTGTATCATCGATAATCTAGTTATGGTTGTTTTTCTTGAGGTATCTGCATTTACAATAAAGATATTTTAAACCTTTTAAGCAAACATAAAATATTTTAACCTATGAGTGTTTGCATTTTGCCTGAAGAATGAAAGAATGCTTCGAATGTTGTATCTTTAGTAAAAGAGTGTTTTTTCCTAAAATAGAATGGTTACATCCCCTGGGGCCTAACTCTATGCACTACTGACTGCACACTTGAATGGCCTTCAATATCCTTGAAAGAGCAATGTATCTCTTTAACTCATAACAAAGTGTGAAGACAGCTCTATGGAGAATCTGAATTTCCATATATTAATACTTAAATAATATTGAAACAGTTAAATAATATAGGAATCATAAAATCATAGGATTTTGTGCTGAAAGGGACTGAGAGGTCTTCTAATTTATAACTATTTATGTGCAAAGAATTACTTCTAACACTTCTACTACCTGAAATCACGCAGTGAGTGTACAGTTTATGGAGAAGGGAAATTTAATCAACTCAAATATGCTCCAGTCTTCTTGAGAAAGAGTGAAAATCCAAGGCTTCCCCAGGCACTCTTTGGCTTTTTAGTCTTGCAGAAATAGTTCATACCCTGGGAATGAAATGGACCTGCCACTCATTCCTCTGCCAAAAGCAGTGTCCCACTTATACAAAGGAGAGCTAAGTGTGTCCCTTTTATAACCTGTTTTCCTTATTCAAAAAGCCGAAAGCCATGTAACATACCTCTTCACAGGCAGTCCTGAAATCCATGTGCTAAGGCACCGTAAAGGATGTCTGAAAAGACAGAGAAATGGTAAGCCATCAAGCACAGCACCTTATATTATATTATATTATATTATATTATATTATATTATTATATATTATATTATTATATTATATTATATTATATTATATATAATTATATACTATTTATTATTTATTATAATTATTATAACTATATAATTATAATTATTAATATTTATTTATTATTTAAAGCATAAATATAAAAATATATAATTATATTATATTAATGTAAGGATAAGGAACGCTGATAAAGCAAAGCATAAGCAATTAGGGAGCAGACCCTGTGGGCACACCTTTCACAGCCACCTGGACAGGACAGGAATTCCCAGGGCAAGATGAAGAGAGTGGAAGGAAAAGAGAAAAGTCTTAGCTCTCGCCTTGGTGCAGCATAGGCCTACTGTCCTGGTGCGGCGTGGCTGAGTGGGTGCATCTCCGTGCACCGCTGAGCATTCAGGCAGGGTCTGGGTTAGAGTCCACCCTTCCCATAAGGGCGCGTTCCTAGTGCTCTTTGTCAAACCTGACTTTGCAACTGGGAAAGAAACTTCAAAGGACTAATTAAATGTTGCCTTTCGTATGGTTATCTCTTGAAAAAAGGTTGACTAATCTTCCTTTTTTTAATTAAAAAGCTACATGCATGAATAATTCTCTCTGGAACTTAAAATTTTATTAACAAACAGTATGATGTAAGGAAACAAACTATTTAATATTAAGATAAATCGATGTGTGAAATACTGAATACAGATTCATTTTGCGGTGATTATAATATCTAAATGGTGAACATAAACTTAAATGCATACAAATGCATATTTGTTTTTTTAATGTTTTTAGAGAATTTCATTTTAGTTATATGATAAACTTAATAAAACTAAGAATGGTCTTAGAAAATTGACACCCTGACACTATGAAAAAACTGCAGAGCCAATATATAATATAGTTTACATAAATGAGACTCAAAGTAAAATGTATGGTGAATTCCACAGTAAAAGATCGGACTCAAGATTAATCCTCCTCTCAGTCTTTGGGACAGTAAATTATTTTGTTCTTCTTTGTCATTTTCTGTTGTATTAGGTTGATAAACAGTAAGTGTTTATCAAATAAATGTGAGTGAAATAAAGCAGGATGTTCACTTATGCTGTCACTGGATTATTACTATTGCCCCTGCAAGAAAAGAGATTGACTGTCTTCAATAGTTAATTGAACATGCTGCATAAAATATTGAGTGTTTTCCCTAAATAGGTTTCATGGGTTTTACTTTATTGGAATGCATAAGCAAGCTGATTATAGTAAACCTAGGTAACAACAAGTCATTTGCAAATAAAAGGGGATTTGATGATAAAAATTAAAATTTGATGATATAAATTACTTAATCAGTTTTTTCTTTTTTTAAATTATTTTTTGAGGGTAATCTTTTTTCAAATTTTTATTTAAATTCTAGTTAGTTAACATATAATATAATATTAGTTTCAGGAGTAGAACTTAGTGATTCATCACTTGCATACAATTCCCGGTACTCATCACAAGTGCCCTCCTTAATGCTCATCACCCATTTAGCCCATCACCCACCTACTTCCTTCCATCAAACATGTTTGTTCTCTATCTTAAAAGAGTCTCTTCTAGTTTATCTCCTTCTCTATTTAAATCACTTAATTTTTTGATATCCAAGGGAAATTGTTGTTAGTTTTAAAAATTATTTTTCAAAATTGCTCTTAAAGACTGTGTTGGAAAAAACTATAAATATCTGTTTATCTCCAACTTTGACATAAAGTTATTCCTTTATATAAAAGTGGAATTTCAATACTTATTGATCATATAAAAACATAATATCTCTAGAAGCAATTTCTTGCTACTAAAAAGCAACTAGAGAAATAGACATGAGGGTACTTAACCATCTGTCTAAACACAAGCTCATGTTTAGTGCCATAATCTGAATATTACTTCATACATTTTAATACATCATTAATAATACGACACATTGTGCCTGCATCTGTACCATTTTTAACATTTTCCTTCTTTTTCCTGAATCTTCCATTATCTTTCATCAAAATATTAGGTAATAATATCAGTGCTTATTTAGAAAAAAAAATATTATGAGATTTAAAATGACATAATTGCTGGGTAAGAATAAATTACATACTACAATGAAACTATTTTCAGTGATTATAAATTTTAAAATTGCAGTAAAAGCTGTTCAGTTTTTTTATTTAAAATTTTTGAGTCTTTTTTGTCTAAACTTTTATGTTAGAACAGCTTTAGATTTACATAAATATTGTGAAAATAGCACAGAGTTCCTATATACCCCACATTCCTTTTTCCTCTATTATTAACATCTTACATTAGTATGCACATTTGTTAAAATTGATACATCAATACCAATATATTATTATTAAATTTATACTTGATTCCAATTTTCTTGGTTTTTTTTCTCACTTTCTTTTTCTGTTCTAAGATCTTATCCAGGGCACCATATTATATTTAATCACCATGTCTCAGGCTCCTCTTAGCTGTGACTGTTTCTCAGACTTTGTTTTTTTAAAATGACTTTGGCAGTTTTCAGGAGTATTAATCAGTAATTTGTAGAATGTACTTACACTGGGCTTATTCTGATGTTTTTCTCATGATTATACCAGAGCCATGAGATTTGGGGAGGATACCACAGAGCCATGAGATTTGGGGAGGATACCACAGAGATTAGTACCATTTCTTCACATTGTATCAGAGGTCCACGTTGTCAACAAGACTTACCATTGTGAAGGCTGACTATGACCACCTGACTAGGATAGTGTTTGTCAGGTTTCCCCACTGGTAAGTTACTTTTTTCTGTCTCTCTCCACACTTTGCTCTTTGACTAGAAGTCACTATGAGCAGCTCATACTTAAGGAATGGAAGTTACACTTCCCTTCAATGAGGGTAAAGTGTCTACATGAATATTTGAAATTGCTCTAGATAGAATATTTGCCTGCTCTTCCCCCATTTATTTATGTATTCAACCACTTACTTAGGCCTTGTCAGCTGACAGAGCAAGGAAGTATATACATGCATATAATAAGCCATGTTGTAAGGCTGTATGTACCACAGTAACATTTATCCATGCAAAATTACACTACACCTCCCAATAAAAGAAAATATATAATTCTATCTGATCCCTTTAGCCTATTTCCATGTACATTTATAGAAATAGAAATATGTATTTGTTCCTATATCTATATTTTTCAGACAGCATATGGTGTTAGAAATAAGTTATTCAAAAAAAGAGAAATAAATTATTCATATTTGAGGGAAGCCTTTATCAAACAACAAATATATCAGTAATAATATATCTGAGTTAGTAACAAATAAAGAGAGGTTTAAAAAATAAAACACCAGGGCAAAAGAATATCTTTTAGATGAACACTATCATTTAGGTACAGGTTATACTGATAACTTTTGGTTCTCTACAGATGCAATGAGAGATGTCAAGTCTGAAAACAACCATAAGCTACAATATGTAAACACTTGTGGAAAATTGAATGATTGACCCAGATTCTCTATCTTTTCTGGCATCCACTTCCAATCCATAAATTTATCATGGAGAGAGTGGCTTTGCTATATATTGACTTTAGACTTAACTATGTGACTTGCTCCTGCCACCATTGAAGTGATAATGTGTTGATTTCTTTAATGGCCTCATATGTTCCCACTGCTCTCTTGCACCTGTTGCATTAGAAGAGCCTCTTCAGGAAGCTGCCATCCACTTGGTCTGGCCCCAGAATGACATACATAAAGCAACACTTTCCTAAACGGCCCACAGAACATGGGGTGAAGCTGAGCTGCCCTCACATCCCTGCCTAAATAGACTTACTTAGAGCCAACCTGCATACTCTGGAATGAAATAAAGGCTTAGAATTTGTAATGGGTAACTTTATGTGTCAAATTGACTGTGGTATAGTCCTCAGTTAGTCAAAATCTGATCTAGGTTCTGCCATGAGAAAACCTTTGTAAATGTGGATAATATCTACAATTTACTAGAACCTTAAGGAGTTTTCTGAATTGGTTCTGGGGTTTCCAGAATTGGTTCCCTAATCTGATTAAATTTAAAGGCACCAGTGATTTTATTTCCACTGTGAAAGAAAGCACTAATATAGCTATAGAAATATATAAAATATCAGCACTGGATACTCTTAATCAAAATGTGACCCATAAGGAGATGTGATGACAGTTTAAGGATGTGGGATTTAAAAAAAAAAAGAATATGAGATAATGATGGAAAGACATAAAGTTGAATTAGGACAGATTTACCTACATGGCCTAATGAAGCAGAGATTTTACAGTTAATGTTTTACTGTGTGGGGTTAGGAGGGCTCTACCACTTTGTTTGTCTGATTGACTAAAACACAGACCAAAACATGGCCCACAATAGGAGAGTTAGAAATGCCAGACCTGCTTTGATTTAAGGTAGATAAAGATATTCAAAGGCTTAAAGAGATTGGGGTGTCAGAATGGGTTTATCATGTGAAACGTGCTCACTCACAGCTTTGACAATGACTGTGAGGCAAGGATTTGTTATAGGAACCAAACACAACTGAAGAACTCTGTGGTCACTTCTGTAGGTTAGAAGTTAAAGTGAGAAGTGTTGCCACTGCACTGGGGTCCTTAAATGCAGGAGAGAAATTGCATCCTGGGATGGCAGGGGCTGAGTGGCAGCACTTAATCACCAAAGATGAAGTGGCTATAGTTACCATAATGGACATCAATCTTCAAAGCAGTAATCAGAATAGTCTGATTTTCAGACATTGACAAGTTGATCATGCCTTCCTAAAAGTGAAATAGATGGGAAGCCTATTTATTTCTTAACTTGATCTAAAAAAGCAGAAGAATTATAGGTCCAGTGAACAGTCTATCCTGAACCACCAAAACAGTCATGGGCCTTCAATCACTTCCCAAACCTGAACCAGTTTGTAGGTCCTGAGACCCATGAATGGGGGAAGGATGGGTTCCCTTGGAAAAAAGACCCT